TGCCCGAAATAGTGCCCGAACTAGTGCCCGAATGAACCCTTCATAGTGCCGAAATGATTTTTCGCGAAGAAAAGGAGATTTTCCTTCCTTTACAAAAGAAAATGTATTTGGCACTATGAAGGTTCATTCGGGCACTATTTCGGGCATATTTCGGGCACTATTCGGGCAGTATTCGGGCACTATGCCAGGTGGAGGCTTGGGCGGCATTATCTGGAGGGCTAAGGGTTGGGAGGCCTGCAGGACCACCAAAACACTGGAAATGCGCACGAAGAATAGGAATTTGTGCTGCAGGAGGCATTGGGGAGTGATCTGCGGGGCAGGGTTTGGAATGCAAAAGGGGGGGTTTAGGGAAGGATCTGCAGAGTTTAGGGCAGGATCTGCAAGGCAGGATTTGGGGGAGGGTCCGCAAGCAAGCGTTTGGAGGAGCATACACGAAAAACATGAGGGGTGGCATGTGCAAAAAATTGTAGGGTAGTCTATCTACAAGTTTACGGGGGCCTTGGCCATGCGAGGGTTTAGGGAAAGATCAGGCAGGACTTCGGGGAGGATCTATAACGAGACTTTATGAAGGAGTTATGGTTTTTATCGAGTGCAGCAGCAGTCAGTCATTGACAGTCTTCTTGTTTGCATATTCAGAAACCTCCCCCCCGCCCCCTCAATTTCAATGTGTGCCGCAATGTGTGCCGCAATGCTCATTGGGCGCTTCTATGTAAACATTGAATTTGGGGGGAGCGGGGGGTCTGGAAGGTTTCAAGATTTGTGGACAAACAATTCCAAAATTGTACTATCGCGCGAGGCCATTTTCAGTGTTCGAAAAACCACGAAAACTGTAGGACGCATTAAGGTACCCCCATAGTCAGTTGCCGCCTTGCTTGCCATGCTGTGGTATTTATGACAAGTAGTTGTCATGACATCATGGTCAACAGTCTCAAGCTGACCACGCACAGACCCCGCGCATAGCTACAAGGTTGTTTTTCGAGCAAAGTTCCAATCCAATTGGGAGCGTCTTTGTCCAAAGGTTTTCGATCCATTCTAGAGCCCATTTTCGAGCTCCAAAAACGAAGCCCAAAATGGGGTCTCCCCTAATAGTTTCCAATCAGGCGGTCTCAGCTTTGGGAACCAATTTTTGGCCTCAAAATGGGGACCAACCCGAGCTCAAAAACTGCGGAATTCTGCGAGGGAGACGTGTTTGAAGCTTTACCAAAGTTTTGCCCGACATGCGGCGACCAGTGTCGCGAGCGACCGCGTCTGTTGAAATCAATCAAAACGCTCCGTTGCTACCCTGGTGATTGGGCTTGTGCTGCTTAAGCACCGTTGTTTGCCACTGTAACTGTCAGTTGCCGCCTTGCTTGCCATGCTGTGGTATTTATGACAAGTAGTTGTCATGACATCATGGTCAACAGTCTCAAGCTGACCACGCACAGACCCCGCGCATAGCTACAAGGTTGTTTTTCGAGCAAAGTTCCAATCCAATTGGGAGCGTCTTTGTCCAAAGGTTTTCGATCCATTCTAGAGCCCATTTTCGAGCTCCAAAAACGAAGCCCAAAATGGGGTCTCCCCTAATAGTTTCCAATCAGGCGGTCTCAGCTTTGGGAACCAATTTTTGGCCTCAAAATGGGGACCAACCCGAGCTCAAAAACTGCGGAATTCTGCGAGGGAGACGTGTTTGAAGCTTTACCAAAGTTTTGCCCGACATGCGGCGACCAGTGTCGCGAGCGACCGCGTCTGTTGAAATCAATCAAAACGCTCCGTTGCTACCCTGGTGATTGGGCTTGTGCTGCTTAAGCACCGTTGTTTGCCACTGTAACTGTGGGGGTACTCTGATGTGTCCTACGTTTTTTGTTGTTTTCCGGGCCCCGAAAATGGGCTCGTAAAGCTCGTCGAAAGTGTGGCAGGGTAGGGAAGCCCTGGACGGAGGTTTTCAGGCCTGGAGAAGTGTTGGGAGGGACTTGGCAAGGCTGCGGTGCATGAATAGTAGACGCCTTCAAATAGTGCCCGAATAGTGCCCGAAATAGTGCCCGAACTAGTGCCCGAATGAACCCTTCATAGTGCCCAAATGATTTTTCGCGAAGAAAAAGGAGATTTTCCTTCCTTTACGAAAGGAAATGTATTTGGGCACTATGAAGGGTTCATTCGGGCACTATTTCGGGCACTATATTCGGGCACTATTCGGGCACTATGCCAGGTGGAGGCTTGGGCGGCATTATCTGGAGGGCTAAGGGTTGGGAGGCCTGCAGGACCACCAAAACACTGGAAATGCGCACGAAGAATAGGAATTTGTGCTGCAGGAGGCATTGGGGAGTGATCTGCGGGGCAGGGTTTGGAATGCAAAAGGGGGGGTTTAGGGAAGGATCTGCAGAGTTTAGGGCAGGATCTGCAAGGCAGGATTTGGGGGAGGGTCCGCAAGCAAGCGTTTGGAGGAGCATACACGAAAAACATGAGGGGTGGCATGTGCAAAAAATTGTAGGGTAGTCTATCTACAAGTTTACGGGGGCCTTGGCCATGCGAGGGTTTAGGGAAAGATCAGGCAGGACTTCGGGGAGGATCTATAACGAGACTTTATGAAGGAGTTATGGTTTTTATCGAGTGCAGCAGCAGTCAGTCATTGACAGTCTTCTTGTTTGCATATTCAGAAACCTCCCCCCCGCCCCCTCAATTTCAATGTGTGCCGCAATGTGTGCCGCAATGCTCATTGGGCGCTTCTATGTAAACATTGAATTTGGGGGGAGCGGGGGGTCTGGAAGGTTTCAAGATTTGTGGACAAACAATTCCAAAATTGTACTATCGCGCGAGGCCATTTTCAGTGTTCGAAAAACCACGAAAACTGTAGGACGCATTAAGGTACCCCCATAGTCAGTTGCCGCCTTGCTTGCCATGCTGTGGTATTTATGACAAGTAGTTGTCATGACATCATGGTCAACAGTCTCAAGCTGACCACGCACAGACCCCGCGCATAGCTACAAGGTTGTTTTTCGAGCAAAGTTCCAATCCAATTGGGAGCGTCTTTGTCCAAAGGTTTTCGATCCATTCTAGAGCCCATTTTCGAGCTCCAAAAACGAAGCCCAAAATGGGGTCTCCCCTAATAGTTTCCAATCAGGCGGTCTCAGCTTTGGGAACCAATTTTTGGCCTCAAAATGGGGACCAACCCGAGCTCAAAAACTGCGGAATTCTGCGAGGGAGACGTGTTTGAAGCTTTACCAAAGTTTTGCCCGACATGCGGCGACCAGTGTCGCGAGCGACCGCGTCTGTTGAAATCAATCAAAACGCTCCGTTGCTACCCTGGTGATTGGGCTTGTGCTGCTTAAGCACCGTTGTTTGCCACTGTAACTGTCAGTTGCCGCCTTGCTTGCCATGCTGTGGTATTTATAACAAGTAGTTGTCATGACATCATGGTCAACAGTCTCAAGCTGACCACGCACAGACCCCGCGCATAGCTACAAGGTTGTTTTTCGAGCAAAGTTCCAATCCAATTGGGAGCGTCTTTGTCCAAAGGTTTTCGATCCATTCTAGAGCCCATTTTCGAGCTCCAAAAACGAAGCCCAAAATGGGGTCTCCCCTAATAGTTTCCAATCAGGCGGTCTCAGCTTTGGGAACCAATTTTTGGCCTCAAAATGGGGACCAACCCGAGCTCAAAAACTGCGGAATTCTGCGAGGGAGACGTGTTTGAAGCTTTACCAAAGTTTTGCCCGACATGCGGCGACCAGTGTCGCGAGCGACCGCGTCTGTTGAAATCAATCAAAACGCTCCGTTGCTACCCTGGTGATTGGGCTTGTGCTGCTTAAGCACCGTTGTTTGCCACTGTAACTGTGGGGGTACTCTGATGTGTCCTACGTTTTTTGTTGTTTTCCGGGCCCCGAAAATGGGCTCGTAAAGCTCGTCGAAAGTGTGGCAGGGTAGGGAAGCCCTGGACGGAGGTTTTCAGGCCTGGAGAAGTGTTGGGAGGGACTTGGCAAGGCTGCGGTGCATGAATAGTAGACGCCTTCAAATAGTGCCCGAATAGTGCCCGAATAGTGCCCGAAATAGTGCCCGAACTAGTGCCCGAATGAACCCTTCATAGTGCCCAAATGATTTTTCGCGAAGAAAAAGGAGATTTTCCTTCCTTTACGAAAGGAAATGTATTTGGGCACTATGAAGGGTTCATTCGGGCACTATTTCGGGCACTATTTCGGGCACTATTCGGGCACTATTCGGGCACTATGCCAGGTGGAGGCTTGGGCGGCATTATCTGGAGGGCTAAGGGTTGGGAGGCCTGCAGGACCACCAAAACACTGGAAATGCGCACGAAGAATAGGAATTTGTGCTGCAGGAGGCATTGGGGAGTGATCTGCGGGGCAGGGTTTGGAATGCAAAAGGGGGGGTTTAGGGAAGGATCTGCAGAGTTTAGGGCAGGATCTGCAAGGCAGGATTTGGGGGAGGGTCCGCAAGCAAGCGTTTGGAGGAGCATACACGAAAAACATGAGGGGTGGCATGTGCAAAAAATTGTAGGGTAGTCTATCTACAAGTTTACGGGGGCCTTGGCCATGCGAGGGTTTAGGGAAAGATCAGGCAGGACTTCGGGGAGGATCTATAACGAGACTTTATGAAGGAGTTATGGTTTTTATCGAGTGCAGCAGCAGTCAGTCATTGACAGTCTTCTTGTTTGCATATTCAGAAACCTCCCCCCCGCCCCCTCAATTTCAATGTGTGCCGCAATGTGTGCCGCTATGCTCATTGAGCGCTTCTATGTAAACATTGAATTTGGGGGGAGCGGGGGGTCTGGAAGGTTTCAAGATTTTTGGACAAACAATTCCAAAATTGTACTATCGCGCGAGGCCATTTTCAGTGTTCGAAAAACCACGAAAACTGTAGGACGCATTAAGGTACCCCCATAGTAATTCAGGTTTGAACTGGGTTCTCTTCCTCTCCCTGTTTGCTACGTCTATTTGCTCACACTTTGTACATGAATTTGTGCTAGTTACATCAAGTCTTACGTTGCTTAATCATCCCTTCTCGGAATTCTTTCACTGGGTCTTCTTTCCTTCACCCTTTCCTTTGGGTGTCCACTGGTCCCACTGGTTCTGCGCCACTCTTCTGGCGATTGCCAGTAGTCTTTGTTGTTCGGGTTCGCGTTCTTGTACTAGTTGCTGCCGTTGTCGTTGGTGTTCCAGTTCTCGTTGTTCCACTGGTCGTTGTACCACCAACCGTCGTTCTGTCCGTCGTCCCCAGGAAGGGTCTTTTTCTTTGCTTCCTGTGTTGTCGTTCTTGCCCTTCATGCCGATGCGTCGCTGCACCTCTTCTTCGATCTTCTCGTTCTCCTTGGTCTCGAGGAATTTATCCAATTCCTTTCCGTCTGTAAACCAAATGTTGTGTTTCCTGTAGCACTCCGTCACCTTGTTCCAAAGGAGGCGGCCTTTCACCGGAGCGTTCTTGATTCTCGTGCTTCCTTTCTTGTCCTCGCACTTCGCGCGGTACTCCTGCGTCTTCTTGTTGAACTCCCACACGTAGCCAAGCTGTGTGAACTCGGCTATGTCGTTCGGGTCGACGGTAGCCTCGTCTCCTTGGTTGCTTGACGGCTTCTCTTCTTGGTCTTCTGTCTCTACCTGCTTTGGCCTTTTTCCTTTCTTCTTCTCTTCCTCTTTTGCTTGCGCTTCTTTCCTCTCTTTCTCTTCTTCTGCTTTGCTCTTGTACGCTTCTTCTGTCTCTTCTTCACCTTCGCTTCCAGACAGGGCTGCACCTATGGTTTCCTTGAGGCTTTTGACCTTCTTCTTGTACTTCACGATCTTGTCCTTAGCTGCAAGTAGAAGTGCGTCCACTTCTTGTGAGTAACCTTTGAAGTACTGGTAGTCGTCCTTGAGGCTCTTGTAGTCGTACTGGAGGTCGTCGAGCTTCTGGTTCCTTACTTTCTCTTCTTGCTTTAGCACTTTAAGCTCTCTCTCCAAGTCCTTCTTTGCGTCGTCAACGTACTTCTTGGCGTACTCTTCTCTCTCCTGGTCGTAGCCGGCGGTTCTTTCCTGGGCTTTTCTCTCTCTCTTCTCTGCCTCTTTCTTCTTCTTTTCAACCTCTGCTTCCTTTGCTTTGACGTTCTCCTCAGCTTCTTCAAGGGCTGTCTCCTTCTCGCTTAAGACCTTGGCTTGCTCTTGGAGGGTCTCTTGGTCTTTCTCTAACTTCTCTTCTCTTTCTGTAACTTTGTCTTCCTTTTCCTTCACCTCCTTCTGCTTCTTCAAAAACCTTTTCACTGTCTCCTCAAACTCTGTCTCTTGGTTTCCGAACTCCTCCTTTACCTTCTCCAGGCTTTCCTCAACCTTCTTCAACTTCTCTGCGTCTCTGCTCTCTCTGTCACTTCTTTCTTTGCCTCGTCGAAGGAGTCCACGTCGTAGTTCACCTGAGCGGCAGGAGCTTCGTCTCTTCTCTTCCTTCGGTTCTTCTTCTTCTTCTCCTTCTCTCCACTTCTGCTTCCTGAGCTGCTTTCCTCTTCTTCACCACTGCTCCTCTCTTCTCTCTTCGGCTTCTTGTGCTGCTGCGGCTTTCTCATCTCGTTCACGACAAACCATGCTGCCATGCACACCATGGCGAGCGTCACCAGGACTTCCAGAAGCGACATGCTTCCAGGACTGCTTGGGACTTCTTGTGGGCTTGCTACTTCTTGAGCTGCGGCGAAAGGTACGTAGCTGCCTCAGTCTTTCCAAACAAACTCGAAAGTGCAAACAACATGCTGCTTTTGTTCTTCATGATCTTCTCGAGTCTTCTCACCACTTGTGCCTTTTCTTCTTCCTCTCGCTCTTGCTCTCCAACTCTTCCTTCGCTGTTGCACATGCCGATCATGTTCAGGAGAAACTTCACTCTTTTCGTGCTGAGAGGCTTTGTTCCTAGGTCTGCTGTGTTCTCCTTTGTACCGACTGCGTGTACAGTAAGCTTGCCTTCGCGTATTGCTGCTTGTAGCCAAAGTAACCGAATCTGCAAGTGCTTGACTCTTCCTGTTCCTTGGCGGTTTGTGATTCCGCGGCATGCGGAACTGTCTGTGTATGCTTTGAGTAGTACTCGTTCTCCTGTAAGGAAACGAACTGCTGCGTGTAAACCTATTCCTTCGCTTGCTGCTCCAGTAAGTGCCATGTATTCAGCTTCTGCTGAAGATAATGCTATCGACTTCTGTGTCCTGCTGTAGCTGTAGAAATATGCACCGTCCAGGTAGAACATGGCGCAACTCACTGACTTCCTAGTCTGCTTGTCTCCGGCCCAGTCGGAGTCGCTAAAAACTTCGAGCAAACGTTCGCGTGGTTGTTCTCGAGGTTCTTGTAGTTCTTGTGGTTCTTCGGCGCGGTGACGTAGAGCTGACGTTCCTGGGCTGTTCCTGTGGTACGTAACGGCGTAGTCTGACGTTCCTTTGAGGTAGAGCGCCAAGTGCTCCAACTCCTTTCTTTTGCGTTCCGTTGGCTTCGTCATGGCAGTACTGAGGCTACGTACTGCGAACTGAATGTCCGGACGGTCGTGCGCTACGTACAGCAAAATGCCGACACAACTTCTGTACGTTCTCGAGTGTTCCTCGTCCAGTTCTTGAGATACGTCAGGTTCCTGACTAGCCGGTGTGCAGGGTGAGTTCTTGGCCTTCTTCTTCTCCAGCTTGAGGATCTCCACGAGTTTCTTCACGTACTTGCTATCGCTATGTACTCGTAGTTCATGTTGTTCGTACGTGTACTTCCTTTTGAGAAACTTCACGGTCTCCTCAGAAAATCCTTTCTCGTAGTCTTCCTCGTTCAGAAGAGGTCCTTCAACTTGTAGGTTCACTTTCTTCTTGAGGTTCCTGAGGATTGGTTCGATGACTTCCTTCTTTCCTGCAAACTGCAAGTCATCTACATGCACAATGCAAACTGCAACCACTTTTCCTTGTCGTAGAAGACGGTAAAGTGCTGGAACTGCTGTACAACGCTCAAACTTCTCTTCCACCAAAAGACCATCACAAAAGTCTGACCAAAGACTGGATGCGTCGCGTTGACCTGGCAAAACTCTTCCTAACTTCCAACACCAAGTTCCAGGGTTGCGTTCTTGTTGTTCCTGCATTGCTTGTACGACGTGAGCTGCTTCTTCAGGTACTCGACACAAACAAGGTGTTCTTTGAGGGACTTGTAAAAACGCGTCCTTCACGTCGACACTGTAGATCGCCCAATGGTTGGCGAGAGCCAGCATGGGCACCAGTTTTGTAATTCCTGGGCTTGTCGCAGGAGAAAATATATCTTCCCTTTTTCCTTCTGTCTTGTATTCTCTGGCTACTAGTCTGGCACGTCGTTGCCAGCATCTTTGAATCTGCTTGGGCTTTGTTGTTCCTTCTTTGGCTTCTTCAGCTTCAAAACCTGTAGCTTCTCTGAACCTCCAATCTTTCACCAACTTCGTTGTCAACCACTTGTGAAGTTCTTGCTCTGAATCTACCAGAGGTACGTTCTCAGTTGCTTCCTGAGGGTCCGTAGAAACCAACGAAATAACTCCCATCTTTGTTAACCTCTTGATTTCCTTGACTGTAGCTTCATCATCCAACTTCTGAAGAAAAGCCGGATCCACGTTCGGTGGTCCTTTCTCCTCGTCGAAGAACTCGACAGGGACCTTGGTAGAAACTTCCGTTGGTTCACTCTCTGTCTCCTCTTCTTCTTCCGACTCGTACACAAACTCATCATCTGCTTCGTAGACTTCATCATCATGAGGCATGTTGAGGTAACCGTCTGTTTCCTCTGCTCTGTTGACCTGCTTTCGTAGCTTGCTGGGTGAGCTTGGTTCCTCAGGCTCAAGGCTGTGCTTGCTTGCTTCTGCTCTTGGTTCAGCTGGTGCTGAAAGTGCTTCTGCTGAGGCTGTAAGTGGCTCAACTGCTCTGAGTTCTTCCAAAAGGGTATCGTCATCAACTTCAGCTCTTCTTTTTCTGTCTCTCGTCACACTCATGCTGCTGGCTTCGCTTTGTTCCTCTCTGTCTTCAAGTGCTCGCTGCTGCTCTTCACTGCTGTCCTCCGAACTCGGAGGGTCGCTAGCGGCCTCGTCGTTCTCGAGCTGTTCGCGTTCTTCCTCGGCAACAGGGGGCAGGATGCTTAGCTGTGGTCGTTGTCTTTGCTTCTTCTCTGGAAGTACTCTTGCTCCAAGGAGTGGTGTGTTGAGGTTCCATGTATGGACCTCTATGCTGCTTGTTCTTTTGGAGTCGTACTGTTCTGGTAGTGGTCTCACGCTGCGTGTGATATGTATGCCATCAGGCTGTGCAACGATCCATGTGTCTTGCTCTGTCTTGCCTAAAAATATTCCTGCGTTCCATATCCTGTCACCTTTCTTCTTGATCTTCAACCTCTTCGCCATCACAACAGTACCAAAGGGTACAAGTTTCCCTGAGTAGGGGTATCCGTGGATAACTTCCTGTGGCGTTCTTCCTGTGGAGCTGCTCACTGCGAACCTGTTGAGTAGCCAGCAGGCGTGTCTAAACGCCCAGCTTACTACTGCGTGCTCGTGTGGTATTGCCAGCTGTGTTCTTTCTCTGACTTCATCGAGAATGGTGTTCGCTTGCCTCCGTACTGTTTGTATTGCTCTTTCTGCGGCTCCATTGCTTTCGTGGTCGTAAGGAATGCTTTCCTGTAGTGTTGTAGAAAGTCCAAGGCTGCTGCGTACTTTCTGTACTTTGTCCTTGAGTGCTTTGGCTGCGTTCTCGTTGTCTGCTTTGAGAACGAGGGTGTTGTACCCGAGTTGCGTGGTGAACTGCACGAGTGCTTCCGCGAGATGCGTTGTGCTTCCTGCACCTCCTTTCCTCTTGCAGGGCACCGAAAGAACTGCCTTGCTCCAGCTGTCCACAGCGACAAGAGTCACTGCTGGTGGCTCTTCACTTCCTGTGGTGCTTGTATAGCAAAAGTCAAAACTGATGACGGGCTTCGCGGAATCCGTAGAGCTGCTTGGCTTGCTCAATCCTTTCTTGTGGTTGTCTTCTCGTGCTTTCATAGCAACGCAATGGGGACACCAAGGCTGATACGGAAGGTGCGTCAAGTTGTGGTACGCTCTCTCCTCTTCCGTTGGTTCCTGTGGTGGTGCTAGGTGGTATGCTTGGTGGTGTTCCCGTTGTTCCTTATGTTGCGTGCTGAGTCTTTCTTCTCTGACTGCTGTGGCGAGTCTCTTCAAGAGCTGCTTCTTGCTTCCTGTTGTCTTCACTCTGTACTCTCTGCAAAGTGCTTGTAGTTCCTTAAGACTGCTTTTCTGCGCTGTGTACTCGACGCCTTCGTGGTAGAAGCTTTCCTCCAAAACTTCAACAACTTCTTGTGGTGCTTCTTGGTCTGCTGGTGCTTCTCTCATCTCTTCGTCTTTACTCTCCTCCGCTTCTGGTGGTGCTGCTGAATCTTCCTTCTCTTTGTAGTGTTCTTCCTTCTTCTTCTTTAGCTCCTCTGCTGCAGCTTCTGCTTTTAGGTCTTCAACAACTTCTGGCTTCACACGGAACCTTGTTTGACCAAACCACGGCAAACGAAAGTGTTCACGTAGAGGTAGCCGGTCTGCTCTCCAGTCGTCGCTGTGTTCGTAGATCTCCGTACTGTAGATGCAGTCTCCTTGGGTATACCTGCTGTTCTCGAGATCTCCAAGGAGGACAGGACAGTTAGCAACTCCTGTCGGGTCAAACAGCACAGTTCTTGGTACTACGTGGTGACGAACAACTTCTCCCTTCTCGAGGTCCATTTTCCAGTAGTCACGACCATGACTTTCTTGCTCTGCTCGGTCTCCAGCTGCGTAAGGGGTGCCAAGGATCCAAAGTGGAATTGGCTTTGCTGAAATGGCTGTAACCACTTCCTTTTCTCCTTCTGCAAACTCTTCAAAAGGGTCTGCCTTCTCGGAGTACTTCTTTGAAACTTCAACTGCTCTCCATCCTCTCTCTTCTTTCACCAAAGTGCTTCTGTACGGAAAGTGCGTAGGGCTATACATGAGAGATGGGTTCTCGTAGCTGCTTTGAGTGGCGTACTTCACAATCACCATGCTGTCTGTGTTGTGCCAACCAGGTTCTTCTCTGTTCACTGCTTCCTGAACGTGCTTGTTGAGCTGAACAACTGTGCGAACCATCTTGTAGTTGTTGCTGCTGTAACTTCTGCTTCTTGAAGGAGTTTGTACGTAGGCGTAGGCTGCCAAGCTGTTCTTGTGGAGATGCACTGGTATTCTTGAGCTTCCGTCTGTAAGACACATACCTTCTTCTTCGTTCACTCGCAACTCCCAGCCTTCTCGAAACAGCTTGCCTATGGCCATCAACGGGTTGATCACCGAGGCAACGGTGAAGGCTTCCTGGATGCGACAAAAGCTTCCGTCGTCATCAAAGAACGTTAAGTTCAGCATCCTTCTGCCTTCCGTCTTTATTGCCTTTCCTTGTGCGTCCTGAATGGACGAAGGGCGAACCTTCAAAGGGGTTCCTTCTTTTCCTAGCCAAGAGAGAAACGTCTGCACCAGAATCCAGGATAACTTCGATTCTTTGGTGAAGATCACTTTCCTGGAAAAACTCTTCCTCTACAACGCGTACTGAAAGAACTTCTTGTGGTGGTAGTGCTTCACGTCCAAGGTACCAGTTTAGTAGAGGATCTTCTTGCTCTTCTTCGTTCTCTTCTCCTTCTGACAAAACAAACTCTTCAGCTTCCGTCACTCTCAAGACTCTTCCAAAGTACTCGATCTCGAGCTCTTCTTCGTCTTCGTCAAGTTCAAAAACTTCAGGGTACGTGACGGGATCGTTGTCCATGTGGTACATCGCGATCTGTCGAACTGTTGGCTTAGCTGTAGACTTCGCGCTTGTAGTTCTTGTTGTTGTGGCTGCCGAAGCGCTACTGCTTGGAACTGTGGTAGGCTGTGTCCTGACGCTTTGCTCATCTTCCTCCTGTGCGTTCCTGACGTTCTGCTGCATGTCTCTCTGCTTGAGTCTGCAATTGGCTTCGTAGTGTCCAGGCTTTTGGCAGTAATGACAAACACCAATTCGGTTGTTGTAGCCTTTACCTTTTCCTTTGCTGCTGTAGCCTTTTCCACCGCCTTTGCCATATCCTCGGCCTCTGCCTTTTCCTTTTCCTTTTCATCGTCCTTTTCCTTTTCCTCGGCCTTTGTAGTAGTACTGGCTTTCTCCTTTTCCTTTTCCTTTGCCGAAGCCTTTGCCTTTGTTGTACTTGCCAAATCCTTTTCCTTTCTTTCCTTTCCCTTTATCTTTTCCTTTGCCTTTATTCCACCATTCCACTCGTGAAACATCCATGTCTGCTTGTCCTTGGTGGTCCTTTCCTGAGTTGATAAGGTCTGTAGTAGTCCACCTTGCTGCTTGCTCGTAGGAGAGGAGGTACTGTCGTAGTGTACCGTACTTTGTGGTCTCTTTCTGGTTGAGTAGAAGATGTTGTCTCATGTTCCCTTCGGTTCCTCCAAGTATGATGGAAATCTTCATGTCGTCCGCAACAAGGTCTCCACTCGCTCTTTCGTACTCTTCAATCAACTCTTCAAACTTCAGGATATTTTCTTGTGTTGACCTCTGCTTGTCGAACCTGTAGTGAAGAACTCCGTTAAGTAGTTGTAGAGAACGTGCACGGTTGTGAGGCTGATGTTCCTCCACCAACAACCTCCATGCTTCGAAACCGTTCTCGTTGGGTACTTGCTTTAGAGTTCGTAGAGGACGGCCACGAGTATAGCTGGTGAGAATGGAATGTAGCTTTCTTGAAAGTGCTTGTTCACCTGGGTTAAGTTTGCTCCATTCCCATGATGCTTCTCTTCTATCCATCTCGACTGCGTTGATCTTCTCAAGGATGTCGTTGTTGAGAGCGCCTATCCAACTTCTAGAAAACCATCACGCTCTTCCTTGTATGTAGTAGGGCCAAAGACTTCTGGAGATTTGATCATCTTGTGGAGGTCGATCTCCCCTGGCCTTCTTGAATCTGCGTGCTGCGACAGTGCTGTAACTGCGTCTGCTGTAAGCTTTCCTGTTGCTGCAACCGCGTTTGCAGTAAGCTCTGCTTGTTGTGACAGTGCTGTGTTGGTTGCTTGGGTTGCTTCCGTAATTGCTCTCTGCTGTTGTGAAACTGACTGCGCGAGTTCCTGTAGTTGTTGTGAAGCGGTACCTGCCTGCGCTTGCTGACTGTTCATTGCTTGGGAGCAACAACAACGGTGACGACAAGAATCAGCAAGCTGATGCGGAGAACCCCCCGTCGGCCAAGAAGGCGAACGCAGACGCCACAGAAGATGTCAAGGAAAATGATGAGACCAAGGCCAAGAGTCAGAGGGCGAAGGCCAAGGCCAAGCCAAAGGCTGTTGGTAGACCCATCAACATGGATGGCTTCGTGCAGGTCGCTGAGTTGGCAGATCCCCCCGTGAAGCTCGTGATTGGCCCGGTGGATGGGAACGACACCTTGTGTATGGTCAGTGACTCGTCTCCATAATTCCATAATTTCACTGGAATGTTGTTCAATTTATAGATGGGTCATTGCAGTGACGAGGCAATGCGGACAGCTCCCGGCAAGTGCCCAAGAACATCGTCATGCTTTGGGTCGGCGACGGCAAGCTGCAGAAGTCGCAGGGGGAGCCGACACCAGGGTCATTGGTATACCCTGATTCCAGAACTCAGAAGGGCATGTGCCTAGATTTTGAGTCCAAAACGTTTTCCACGCTCAAAGATCTTGCACGCAAGCACAATGTCAGTGACATTCTTGGCTTCCGTTCGTTCCCGCCCGGCGCCCCTGGAGACTTGGCTCCTGACAGCACGACTTGGGTCATGGAGAGCGTCAATCCTCTGATCCCGCGGCTTAAGCTGGCTTCGGATGCCATCGATCATATGGGATGGGTCTGGTGCTTCGTGGTTAGAAATTCGAAGCTCGTACCAGCAGGCCTTTGGGCTGAAAAACGCCTACATACTGCGATCATGTAGCAGGCTGTCGAGCATGTCATCCATATCTTGAGCCTGAGGTGCCGCCTTCGTGTCATTCAAACAATTGGTCCTGCAACCGAACCTGATGTACAACCTGCCCATGTAGAAATGAGCCGGCCGGTATCTGTAATCTTGATGCCATCCCTGCTAGTTTTGCTGTGCAATGACAGCATCATGCTGGAAGTCAGAGTCAGGAGTGCTCAGTAACTCTGATTCTTTGGAGTACCGGAGCTGTCATTGCGTCGATACGATTTTGAGACCTCCCGGATTCTGTGGGCCCAAGTTTCCTTCAAGACAAGCAGTGATCTTTGTTTACTTTCGACACTTTTAGTCGATACATGATTCTCCAGCGTCAGAGGTCGCGACAGAAGTCCCAGAAATATTCTGGGTGTTTAGAGTCGGAGCAGGCCAACTGCCTGTCAGAGTCAGTCACCAGCTGACTTTCGCAAGTTTTTGCATCTTGCGGCTTCTTGTGGCATTATGCACTAGAGAGGTTATGTGAGCAACAATCAGTGTCAATGAAAGCCGCACATACCAATCAGCATGAAGGCAAAAAGAAGGCTTCTGAATGCTCCTCTTCTTGCCTCGCATGCTTCGAATCTTTCAGACCCTCATTTCTGTCCCCTCTCAGGTCGCTGGCGGCGCCGCTTTGCACCAGATGCATCGGCGAAAAAAGATTTGCAAGCACATGCACATTTGCTTTCTCTGTGATGTTGCCTTTGGGGGGTCCAGGATGTGATTTTGAGGAGGGCGATATAGCAAGCCCTGTCAGACTCTCAGCGGCCCACGGCTGAAGGTAGATTGCACACTGATCCGCAGCAGGGCACATCTCTTCTCCAATGCGGAGTGTTGCTTCCAGTACTTGTTTTCTATTAAGCTAGAACTCTGGCAAACAAGTCTGCGGCGGCTTTTCTCTGCAAAGCATGCCGTTGTCAAACTCAGAGTCAAGGCAGAAGTGTCGGCATCGTTGGTTGGCAAACTCCAAATTGCGATTGCTGTCCGCATAATGGAAGACTTTCATTGAGGACTTCTTCCAGCAAGACGCAGCAATTTCGATCCGCAAATGTTTTCCTACTCTGGCCTTTGTAAGGGCACCTTTCGCCTTCTGCTGCCCCTAGATGACGCCTCATTGGGATTGCGGGCGCCAGCCCGCTATTCCACTGCAGTCTGCTGGGCTCTTACACGCTGCACTGTGTCCACTTCGCACAGCTGCCATCACACGGGGTTGGAATCTTAGTGCTGTTGTGTTCTGGTTACGGCCATCGGAAGATGGACTTTTGCTTCCCTGTGCGCCTGTGGCGCCATGCCTATTTCGATGCATGGGACTGTCGGGCCCAAGTTTTGATCCATCGCTTGGTGGCACAAGAAGCCAATCAAGGTGCCATGCCTGACGGTAGTCGACCTTGGTGTCGGCCAGGACACCCTCGGGGACAGGACGAGTGGCGCGCTGCGGCCGAGACTTTCAGGAAGCAGGGGGGACTTGGCCCCGGCATCCAGCTTCCATTCATATCAGAAGCACTTATGCCGCACCTGCATGAACCCGACATGGACACGCTACAATACCGCTTTTACCGTCTCAAAGGCTTGTATGACGAGGGTCAGTACCAATTGCTGTACCTCCTGCGGGAATCCCATTTCCCGAGCGGTGGCAATGACATACAGCGTTTGCTTGATCAATGGCCCCCTACCTAGGAACCAGGCTTCGCCTACTGCCCCTTTGGCCGGCCACTGTGTCCATACCTGTCGACATACGTCGACGGTTCCTGCCATCTCCTGGCCATGGATTTTGGACTTGTGGATTTTGCCGTGCACGATCGGGACACAACAGTACCTTGGGGCTGACCGTTGTTTGACGGAACTAGAACGGCGGCCGGAGCCTTGGATTTGGGCTCCACCAATGGTCCTGGACAGCTCTGGGCGACGGCTCACTGTTGTCGTGGAACGATCGCTGAGGACCTGTAGTTGATGCTGAACGGTTAACGCAGGTAAAGCCTGTGCGCCGGAGGTAGTTTTGTCCTCTTAATTAGGATGTCTCACAGCTGTTTTCGTTTGATTGTTGGTTTGTTTGTTTGTAGGGACCGAGTGCTACAGCTGTAGTCGACGAGGCCCGCATACGCCAAAAAAAGTGGGAGCAGGGCTCCCTCGGCTTGCGATCTTTCCGGTGCATCTGCAGATGCAGCCTACTTTTGCTCGCGCTCCCGCACACATGAGCATTGCGTTGCCCTACGTGGGTCACCATTGGGGCGGCCACAAACATGGGAGCTGGATCGATGAAGCTGCTTCGCGCTGCAACGTCCTGATGCCACTCGCACTCACGCCAAACCGCGTGATTTTGTGGGAACAGTCCGTATCAGCTGATGCCCGATGTCGCAGACATGCTTATTCAGGCATGTAGCAGGTCTTGTATTCCTGGCAATTCCTTCCAAGAAGCACGTGACAAACACTTGACCAATGCTGAGTTCGGCCTTGGGGTGAGCTTGCGCTCCGCTTGGTGGGAGTCGATGTCTTCGATGATGGTTCGCCATGCCTTTTCGTGGCATTCGTTTAGACAGTACCGGGCGCCATGCCCTCTCTTGTATGTCTGGTGGTGATGTGGTCTGGCTCCGGCTTTTCGGCGGCCTGCTGATGTCCCGCTCTGTTACTTACGTGCCTCTTTCCCGGAGGCCCGCATGCCGGACTCCCAGCGCTCGATTTCGCCGTCATCAACGCATTCGGCCCCACTGGGAAACCACTTGTCGTGACATTGGTGACATTGGTGCTGCCGCTTGCGCAGACGCTGAGCGGAAAAGGCGCCACCTCAACACTGCAGCCCGATGCCATGTTTTGTTTCGTCCTGTTGTCTTCACAAGGCATCCTAACCAAAGAAGCATTTGCCACATTACGTGGGATCGCCGAGACCGTTTTTACAAGGGGTGATTTCAAAGGGGTGGGTAGGACTCAAACGCTTTGGCTCGGCGCCAGGAGGAGTGCCAGCAGCTTCACGTTGATGCTTTTGGCGCAACGCGAATCTATGGAAGGCTGGGAAGGGAGCACGCAAAAGCGCAGCAATTGCTGAGCGTAAAGAACACCAAATGGGAACGAGTTTTGCGCCACCGACTCCAGCAATGGGCACGGGCCTCGCGCGGGCTTGTTGCCCCGCCGACTCCAGGCGGGCTTACTGCTCCGGGGACTCCTTTCGGGCCCCGCGGACGAGGCCTTTTACGCGGAGAAGGCTGGGGCTCGCTGTTGTTTGCCGTTGCTGCTTCCTGCTGGCTGTTTGGACCGCTTGATCCGCGAAGGGTTCGAAAGCACCACGGCGCTGCGGTGGCTGGCGGCCTGGGGGGACGGCTACCGGTCTTCCCTGGCGTTGCTGTAGCAAGGCCCAGTGCACGTCAGGGCCCCTAACGAATACAGGTGCTTCGGACCGCTCCTTATCTGTTACGGTTCAACGTGTCACGTCGACCGAGGCGCTGCGATTGGAGCCCAGCTTTGTGACGAGATCTTTGAACGCATCGCTATTCTCACTGCCCGGCCCAACGGCCGTGCTGTCGTGCGGCGCCTGCAGCCTCCGAAAGGTCTCAGCCGCCAGCGCAGCTCTTGCTGCGCCGTTTTCAGCGAACCGATGGACGTTAGCTGAGCTGCACGTCCTCCGGTCCCCTTCGACTGTGCTGCCGGCTCTTCACAAATGCTTGGCTCGCTAGGTTCCACTTGGCCTCGCCCTATGTGCCTTCCGTGCTTCGCGCGGGCCTATTAGTCGTTACCGTTGTTTCCAGCGCCCGACGCTGACCTAGGTTTGCGTCGGTTGCGGCTGCTTCGAGTTTTGCACTCCCCTGAAAAGTAGGTGCTGAGTGGACTGTAACAGTATAGAGAGAAATATCCATCGACAAGATTCTCATAATATTACACGAGGAGTTGCTCGCCCTCCCGCCAGTGCTCGAGGACTTGCAAAATGCCTGGCTATTGTTTTGGCTGTGCACGGCTCCACGCTGCATCTACCTGTTCGGAATCGTGCCGCCAGGAGCTAGCGCTGGACCGGTGGCGCCAGGACCCGCGGGCTTCGTCTTGGTGGGAACACACACGCAGGGCATTGGCCGCGTCAGACCCGGCTGCATGTGCAAATGCCGGCGTGTTGCTCATTGTTGCTCCCTTCACCGAGCGCCGGGCGCAGTTGCCTTTTCGCTGGGTCTCGGCCTATTTTCCGCGAGGGGATAGCGTCATGTGGCGTACTGGGCATCTTGGGCGGACATGATCGGCAATTTGCGGGACTTGGGCAGCACTCCTCAGCACCCCATGCGCAGCCCCCGTGTGCCCGGGAGGCCGGGCCTGGCGTTTGGCCTCACGGTTGGCAGTTCCACGCGTCGCGTACACGCTCACTCTACTTTCTCGATCGAGTGCTACCGCCCACCCTGGAGCCCGCTCACCAGGCACTGTTGCTGTCCCAGTCGGGCCGACAAGCCGCCGCGTGGCTTACAGCTATACCCACTGGGAGGTCCACCTCGCTGCCGCCAGAAGTCATGCGAATCGCTCTTCGCAGACGGCTCCGTTTGCCTCGGCCTCTGGGCCCCGGCATTTGCGGCCAACACGGGCATGGATGCCGAAGACGGCTAGACCATGCTAGACCCCGTGTCTCAGCACCTTGCTCTACGGGGAGGAAGCACCCGAGCTGCGAAATGATGCCCTTGGCACGGCGCGAGCCCTTCCGCTCGAGCATGCGGTCGCCCGTGTGTGCCGGGAAGGCGGCGCGCGTGTTGCACGCAACGTCCGGCTTGCTGACATGAACATCGATGTTCCCGTCAGTGACGCGCGTCGCATTGAGGTCGTCGCAAGCGGCCTGCCCCTCTAGCATGGGGCGCAGCTCGCGCTTGACGCCACGATCGTCAGTCCTGTCACGCGGAGCGGGGAGCCGCAGCCGGGCGCCGCCGCGCGCCCTGG